AGCCTCGAACTCACAGAGATCCGCCTGCCTCTGCCTCCCGAGTGCTGGGATTAAAGGCGTGCGCCACCACCGCCCGGCCGACCTCATTGTCTTTTAGGAAAACAACAAAAACAGGACACAAGGTCAAAGTCTTTCGATCCAGACCTCAAGGCCTTCCTTCATCAACAATACTGGAGCTTTTCCATGGTGAGGCTGATGCATATGACGCTTACAGAGCCCCAAACTCAGGGTCCTCAAAGCAGAGGACAGCTCAGACTGCTTGTCACCCACCTCCTGCAGCCATGGGAAGACACTGACAGCTGACCTGGTACCATGATGGCTCCCTCTTGCCAGCCATGCCAATTTCTCCCCCTGAGTGAGTCAAGTTCTACGTGATGTGCCCAGAGGACACTCACTGACACCTCAGTCTAAAACGTGTGAATCTGAATACTTCTGAAGTCAGGATTTTTAATATTTTGTTTCATTTTTATTTGCGTGTATGGATGTGCTTCTGCCGTGTGTGTGCAGGTATCCTCGGAGGCCAGAAGAGGGCATCAGATCTCCTGGTACTGGAGTTATAGGCTGTTATGGGCTGCTCGATGTGGGTGCTGGAAACTGAACTCAGGTCCTCCTGAAGAGCAGCCAATGCTCTTAACCATGGAGCTATCTCTTCAGCTCCAGGATTTTTGGTTGTTTTCAGGCAGGATCTCCCTATATGTCCCTGGATTCCATAGAACTCACTATGTAGACCAGGCTGACCTTGAACTCACTGAAATCCACCTGCCTCTGACTCCATAGTGCTGGGACTAAAGGTGTGCGCCACTACCGCCACTTGATCCACCATACCCACCTGATTTTTTTTTTAAGGCAGGGTATCAGATAGCTTAGGCTAGATGGACATGCTATATAGTTGGAGGTGGCTTTGAACTCTGGATCCTCCTGATCTAGTTACCTCCACTTCCTAAGGGCAGTGATTACAGGACATGTGCCCACCAATCTCAATTTCCAATTTCAGTTTTTATCACGAGTCATTTTTTTATGTCACTCTTGGAGAAACATGTATTTCATCCTCCATCTACCCTCAGTCTGGTCCATGGGACAATCTTTCTCCCAGCAAAAAGTGGTCTCCCAGGCTTGGGTACAATCATGAAAATTTCTGTTTTTCTTTTTTTTTCCCCCCTCTGGCTGCCAGATAACTCAAAAGTCTAAATTAATTGCTATAAGACAATTAATTAACCTGCAAAGCTACTGTTTTGGACTGTTTCTCTTTTTTATATGTCCCATATCAACATTTCACAGTTTCATCAAATACACAGTGTCCTTTTATTCACCTTTTCACCAACACACCTGAGCCTGGCCTTTTTCCTGCTTGCTTTTTATGTGGGGGGGGGGGAGGGAGAGGGGCGGGGGGGGGGGAGGGGTAGGGACAGGCAGCATCACTGAACTACATTTCCCATGCTCCTTTGCTAGCTGAACAATCTCAGCCAATAGAAGGTCTAGGGGAGCCAGGTGTGGGGCTGGTGTTTTATTTGTGTTTCTGGCAGTATCTATCTATACAATAGCTGCTCTTCCCCCATAGCTCCAGTCTGATTGGCCCCAACCAGACCTACCCCACAGTTCTGGGGCATCATTTCTCCCTGGGTCCCTCCAGCCATAGGAGCAGACAACTTCCTCCAGTGGCCCAGACTCGATGCCTCCTTTCCCAGGCTGTCCTTCCAACACTCTACCAACCAAGACTCTTATTTTCAGTATCCACCCCTGCCTGGGAGAGTCTCTGAGGCAGGGTGACCAAGCCAGGGCACCTCCCCTTTGAAACAGTGGGGCATAAATCATAGAGAGTAGGTTCTGCAGGCACTGGGGGGGGGGGAGGTAGGAGCAGATTAAATGAGGTAAAAACTGGACACCAATGCCTGTAATTCCAGTACTCAGGAGGTAGAGACATAGAACATCAGGAGTTTAAGACCAGTCTTCAATATGTAGAAAGTTAAACAAGACCTTGAAGAGAGGGAGGGGAGGGAAGGAGGGGGGGAGAGAGAGAGAGAGAAAGAGGGAGAGAGAGGGAGGGAGGGAGGGAGAGAGAAAGAGAGAAAAGGAGGGAGGGAGAGGGAGGGAG